AAACTAATAAAAATAAATGCACATATTTAATTTTTTCATACCAGAATCAGGACACAGTCACTCTTGCAGGCTTCTGGTTCTAGCCCCTCACCCAGAGGTCCTCAGGGTGATCGATCCAGATGGCTGCAGTCCACATGGTGGCCATATCCTCCCACCGCCTAGTGATAGCTTCCTGTTGAATAGCTAATCCATCCTCCTTGGCTGTCCTCACTGGCCACTGTGCTCCACATGCACTGTGAAGATATATAGTACTACTTCTGGATCTTGTGTCTGCTTCCCATAGCCCCCCAGTGGGAAGCCTGGCCCCAATAAAGTCATTCCTCTGTGAGTTCCTGTCTCTCTCCCTACCTGTACCTTCTTACTTGGGTGTGTGTAGCTTCCAGGCAAGCTCTGTACCTGCCAGGACCTGTACTTAAGAAAATCTTTTTATTTCTACTTTGTGAATCTCTTAATTGTGGGAGGGGTGCTTCCATCTTCAAGATCTGACATTTAAACAACTGGAAAATGAGTGTCTTGGGAAGAAAGCCTTAGAAGGGAATTGTTACAGGCTTTGTGCTGCTGTGAGGTCATTTGGGAATGGAGTTAAAAGGAGACAAGAGTTGGCAGAAATAAACACGGTCATTGGTTCTGTAATAGATTCTGGAAACAGGAAAACTAGTACCCAGACAATGAGTATACAGCCCTCAAGTCCGTGTGTGTGTGTGTGTGTGTGTGTGTGTGTGTGTGTGTGTGTGTGTGTGTGTGTTCCAGTGGAACTTTTCACACCCAGGGTCTGCTCTGTGGTATTTATGCAGGTGCAGCCAGAAAAATTTACTCTAGTTAAGAAATCGCTAAGGTTAATGTGATTACTTGTGACAGCCCTGCTTCATGAATTCAAATTTAAAAGAGGAACAAAAGCAATATGCCTTTTTCTGGGGTCAGACCCAAGCTTTAGATGATCATCCTAATTCTGTCACACTGGCTGTGCTCACTGCTACTCATATCACAATAATGGAGAGGGCCTGGGTCTTCCGCCAGCCGTTTGTTCAAGTTTCCTGTGGCTTTTTTTTTTTTTTTTTAGGTTTCTCTCAATCCTTTGGGGATAGTGGTTCACAGAAGGGGTGGTAGTTAGAGCATCTGAACTTCTATAACTCACAGGACAAGGTCTTGTGTGTCAATTGACTGTCCCAGTGGGGAAGACTGTATTATTAGGGGCATTTAACAGTCATTGATTATGACAGGAATGAGCTTTGTGGGGGTAATTGTTGAAATGAAATGATTATTTTTTTTACCTGGTAGAGGATGGATTTTTTTTTTTGTTTTCATTTCTGAAGATTAGGTTCTTCTGATATGGTGTAAAGACTTTGGCAGATGTGTGTTGGTGATGTGAAGTCAATGTATAATGTTTATAAGATGGTGTCTGTGGCTGGTAATATGGCTAAGTTGGTAAAAGCGCTTGAAGCCAAGTCTGAGGACCTGAGTTCAATCCCCAGGACCCACACTGTAGAAGGACAGAATAGTCCCTCAAAATGTCCTCTGATTTGTACACACAGTATGACATCCCTGTGTGTGTGTGTGTGTGTGTGTGTGTGTATGTGTAAGCACTTGCACATGTCCTCATTTATGACTACACATTTGCACACACATACAATAAATAAATGTAATTTTAAAAACTAAAAGACTGATGTCTGTAATTAATTATGCAATGGAAACTTAAGCATCAGTGGGATATGGAAATAAAATTTATTTTTGGAATGCTCTTTCTCCTGAGAGTTATTTAGCTTTGTGAGCAATCAGTTAAATTCAGAACAGTATTTATGGTCTATGTTTAAAAAAAATTACAAAGAAATTAGCTTTCTTCCCCCTGAGCAGCAAAAGACCAAAATTGGCTCAGAATGAGAGAGGGAGAGAAGGGATATTGAATCTGGTAATAGAGGTGGCCACAAGGCAATAATGGACAGGTTGGTCATGGAGTGACTGACAGAGATCAGAACACATGTTTTGTTAATGTCTTGTGTGAAGCTACCTATTTCTACAATCAATGGCTGTCCCACAGCTTACAGCAGAGGCTGCCTACTTCTGAAACTCAGCAACCAGGGAACTCCCACAAACGTTCAGGGTAGGGATTCTTTTTTTTTTTTTTTTTTTTTTTTTTGTTTTTCGAGACAGGGTTTCTCTGTGTAGCTTTGCGCCTTTCCTGGAGCTCACTTGGTAGCCCAGGCTGGCCTCGAACTCACAGAGATCCGCCTGGCTCTGCCTCCCGAGTGCTGGGATTAAAGGCGTGCGCCACCAACGCCCGGCCAGGGTAGGGATTCTTTAAATAGCACACACCTAGTATTTGGCTACAAGTGCCGTTTTGGTTGAGTAACATGATGCAAGGTTAAACTATTGGAGTCTTTCAGCTGGGTTTGTTTCTCACGGTTCCCCTGAAGTCTTTTCCCTGGAGGTTCATGAGTGTTTCTCTAATGTCATTTTCAGAAGACCAGATGTCTATCAAGCAAATTATACAGAAGCTGCCCTGGGGAGTCTTTTGAGGGCACCAGTTTCCCGTAGTCCTTCATTGGGGAATAAAAGAATAGAACCCAGGATTGGAAGCAACCCCCAAGTAAGTCCCTCTTAGGAACTCAGAGGGAGGTGATTAGTTACTTCTCCAGGAGAAGGTTCCTGGCATAGCAGGTGTCTTAGTCAGTTGTCTGTTGCTGTGAAGAGACACCATGACCATGGCAACTCTTATAAAGGAAGACATTTAACTGGGGCTGGCTTACAGTTCAGAGGTTTAGTCCACTGTCATCATGGTGGAAAGCATGGCAGTGTGTAGGCCAACATGCTGCTGGAGAGGGGCTGAAAAGTCTGTATCTGTGTAGGCAGGCAGCAGGAAGAGAGAGTGAGCCACTGGACCTGGCTTGAGCTTCTGAGCCTTCAAAGCCCACCCCACCACCAGTGACACACCTCCAACACAGCCACACCTACTCAACAAAGCCAGACCTCCTAATACGCTATGGGCCTGTGGGGGGCCATTTTCATTAAAACCACTTCAGCAGGAGACAGCTGCAGGTTGAGAGTTTTAGTTTCTCTCTCTCTCTTTTTTCCTTTTACCATACTGGGGAATCAAACCCAAGACATCCTGCATGCTAGGCAGGCACTCTACCATTGAGCTACAAGTCCAATCCTCTTTTTGTTTTTTGTTTTGCTTGTTTTTTTGAAACAAGATTTCTCTGTGTAGCCCTGGCTGTCCTGTAACTAGCTCAGTACTCACAGAGATCCATCTGCCTCAGAAGATCTCAAGGCTCTGGCTGTCCACGGTCTGCTCTCATAACTGTCCACAGAGGGAGGTGTTGCTGTAGTCAGGGCATGCATGGGGGTATTTTTGGCAAGTCTTTAAACTACCCCATCAATCCTGGCTTAACATCGCTGCTAACTGTTGTAGTGGGAGTATCCGGAATCAGTTTTGCCAAATGTAACTTTTATTATAGTTCCTTCAATGATAGCAAATTACCTCATGGCTCTTCAATTCATTTACTGTTTTACAGAGGTTCTTAGAGTGTCCAGAGAGCCTCCTTCCCCCCTGTCCCCCCCCCCTCCACCCTTTTCTAGTATCTTACTATGTGGCCCACGTTGACCTCAAACTTGAAATTATCCCGGTTTAGCCTTCTAAATCTGGGATTAGATACATGGCCCATTTTAACCTAAAGGATCTCATTTCGAAACATTTTGAAATTATGGATTCATCAAAATTCGTACGCTTTATATCAGCATAAATATCTTTTATCTTTTCTCAGCTGGCAGGTCTAGCTGAGGCCAATTTATTCAGCCATCCAAACATTTTGTTTCTAGAAGAAATTTAGATTCCATGAGTAAATTCAAGTCAGTGACAATATAATCTTAGCAATTTCTAGTTTCTCTTTTCACTTATGAACCAGTTACACACAAAAATTAAGGCAGGAGTATCTGAGAAGATATTAGAAGGTCTATAGAGTGTATGGTGATTTCCTAACAGAGGTACCCGATCATGGACATGTTTTTCTAAGCATGAGGGTGCATGATCGTAGAGTGTTACAGCAATGCATGGAGGGAAGTCAAGAAAGCTGCAAAGGAGGGGTAACTGAGTTCCCCTCCCCCATCAATAAAAGCAGCAGGGAAATTACTAAATTTAGTTGTGGGTCCTAGAGCTAACTCAGTTGGGTTGGCTTAAGTCTTCTAAATGCCCTGCTACAGCGGATATGACTCTTAGCCAAGACAGGCACACAGGGGCCACTAGACCTAAGGAAAGACCAAAATACATAACAGATCTCTAATATTTCTCTTGTAGTTTAGTTGACATCCTTGTTGGCTTGTTCAGACTTTACATGGCTGAAAAGAAAAGTGATGTCGTGAGCCTAGACTCTTAAAAGAAAAAAAATCTCTTGGCACATAACTGTTACAATAAGTTTGTTGTTTAGGCATAAACATGCTTTTACTAATTTTTTAGTATTTAATTTTAATTATCTATTCTTTGAGAATTTTGTAAAGATATACATTGTAAGTTGATCATATTCACTCCATATTCCTCCCCAGCTCCTCCCAGAAGGCCCTCACCTCCCTTCTAACTTCATACCTTTTGTTTTCTTTATAGCCCACTGAGTCCAATTGGTACAGTCAGCACATACATGTAAGGCCATTTGTTGGAGTGTGGGCAACTTAGGAGGCGCCTAGGAAGAAAACTTAGCCCCCTTCCTTTAGTCCATCAAGTGCCAATAACTTTTAGCTAGGGATTGGGGCCATGTGAACTCTTTCTCCACCCAATAAGCATGCTTTTCAAAACCTAACACAACAGTATGACCCTTGAAATATATTTTTATTAACATATTTTACTTATATACAGTTAATTATGAGAAAAAGTCAACTTTCATTTTCATTTATCAGCTTTTTATGACTAAGTTTAATAGGCAAAAGAGAGCTCATATTAGTTTTAAATTACTTAAAATTCAAAGACTATTTAGAAACCTGACTATCCATGTTGTCTTTCTTGTCACAGGATGAAGGCGACCATCTATTAGAGGCTCCTTGGAACAACCTGAAGACAGTTGGAGCTCGAAAAGACATATGATGGCCTTCTTATTCTGGTTTGGGGGCCTGAATTTGGGAAAGTAAGAGTCAAGAATAGTTGTTCAAGAGACAAGATGTAAGTCCTACCTGTCTAGAGTCAAGAAACAATTATTGGCAACATTGTAAAATCACAATTCATAATAGTTGCTAGGAGCTTAACTTTGATTTTTGGGAAAGTAGGGGATCTTTCCAAAAATGGTTTAAAAGCATACTAAAGAAGACAAAAATAACAATATTTTATTGACAAACATTACTTATGGGCATAAAATAAGAATTATTTTACATAAAGACCCAAATTCTAATTCTACTTGTTTTGCATATTATTTGTATAACGATGTACAACAGATCTTTTATTAATATGCCTTTATGTTGGTATATCTAGATGTATACATACATTCAAATAACTGGCATTTTAAAAACGTTTGGCACATTTCTGCTACTCTGCCAGCTACCTGAGCTAGACAGAGAGAGCTAATCTTATCCTTACTCAGAGAAGCTTCTCTCTGCAGTAAAAACAGGGATCCATGGCTATCCAAGGTGCTGAGAACAGGTGACAGCTGAGTGCTCGGCCCCAAATAGGATACTGGAGCATCCCCGGAAGCTCGGAGGGGAGCTAGAAGAGGAGGGAAGGCAGGGGATGGGGCAATGTAAAGGCAGGAAGAAAAGGGGCAGGGCTACAAAGTACTGCCTTCTGGTCACGACAAAGCCACTGGAAACCCCAGCTCACAGCAGCTGTGATTGGCTGCATGGGGCCTATATGAGACTGGCTTTGTCAACAGCCAGCCATAGATTCTACAGGGGATCATGGCCCTACCTCTCTCTGCTGAATAATGGTCTACCGATGGATTTTAGAGGTGAGGTAGACTGCGGTCTTCAGCTGTGCAGCCATCAGGTTTCAATGGATTATTTCAAACTAGTGGTCACACAAAGATCCTGTTAAAATCAGTGGGTCACAAAACAAAGATGTGACTGTAGGTAGGGCAATTGTGGGGATGATGCATACGTTCTGTGGGTCCTTGAGAAGAGAGTATATTCTGCTCCTATTGAATGAACTGTTCTGTAGACTCCAGTTCCATCTTTTGGCTTAGGTGCTTTTAGTTTCTCAGTTTTTTTTGCCTACCTGCTTTCTATCAGGGTTTGAGGGGTTGGGGAGGAGGGTCTTAAGGTCACTAATGTAACTGTGGATCCCCCCCCCAATTCTGTTGGTTTTGTTTCACATATTTATAGCTCTGTGGCTTGGTGCATCCCATTAGAACTTGTGTGTCTTCACAGTGGAGAAGTTATTTTTCCAGTACAGTATATTCCTTTATTTTCTGTTTTCTGGTAATTTTTTCCCTCTTAAATCTGGAGCCATTTCTGATTTGGTTTGATTTGAGTAACTTATTTTTGTTTCCTTTTTCTTTCTACCTGTCAATATTACTATCTGAGGTGAGTTTCTTGAGGGCAGTATCTAGACAGGTCTTTTGTTTTCACATTTCAGTCTTCCAATTCATCTTTTTACTTGTATATTTAGACCATTGATACAGTGTACTTATCAATATGCTGGGGTTATGAATCCCTGTTTTTTTTCTGTTTATATTACTTGTTTTCTTTTCCTGCCTTCACAATGGTTCCTGAACCCTTTAAAGTTTCATTTTAATTCATCTTTAGAGTCTTAGTATATATTTCTGTATAGTTTTTTTAGTTTATGTTATTACATCATGTAAATATTCTTATCACAATCTCTTAGCAAATTGTTGCCAGTTCAAATGGGCAGAGAATCCCAACCCCCTTCATATATCTTTATTTCCCTTCCTGTAAAATACACTGACCAATAACTCTTCTACATCCATTTAAAACTGTATCAGACAGTGTTATGGTTTTTGTTTCAAACATCAAATGTAGCTTAAACTTGAAAAAGGAAAGGAAGCTGCTGTCTGTGCATTCTTTGCTCATCATGGCCTTCCTTTTTCCTGATATTCTAAGGTTACCTTGGAGAACTTTACTTAGCCATTCTTTTAAAAAAGACTTATATATTTTTATTTTATGGTATGGCTGTTTTGTCTGCATGTCTGTAGGTCTACTGTGAGTATGCCTGATGCCTGCAGAGATCAGAAGAGGGTGTCAGAGGAATCTGTTTCTCTCCAAGAGACAATGAATGCTGCAAATGTTTGACCAATGATCAGGAAGAAAAATGGAGTTGAACAAAGTAATTTTTGTGTTTATTTCTTTTTAACCCACTATAGAGAGAAAACGCATGTCCTTTCCTCTGTCCAACTCCATATCAGAAATGGAATCAACTAAGGCCCTCAGCAATGATAGTGACAGGAACTGCACCATAGAAAACTTCAAGAAGGAATTTTACCCCATCATATACCTGATAATATTTGTCTGGGGAGCCTTGGGAAATGGCTTTTCCATATATGTCTTCCTGCAGACTTACAAGAAGTCCACATCTGTGAATGTTTTCATGCTCAACCTGGCCATTTCAGATTTCCTGTTCATAAGCACCCTGCCCTTTAGGGCTGACTATTATATCAGAGGGTCCAACTGGATATTTGGGGATGTGGCCTGCAGAATTATGTCTTATTCCTTATATGTCAACATGTACACTAGCATTTATTTCCTAACTGTGCTGAGTGTTGTGCGTTTCCTGGCCACTGTCCACCCCTTCCAATTGTTCCATGTCACCAGTGTCAAGAGTGCCTGGGTCCTCTGTGGGATCATATGGGTTTTTATCATGGCTTCCTCAGCGATGCTTCTGAATAATGGCTATGAGAAGAAGAAGAACGACATTATATCGTGCCTGGAGCTGAATCCCCAAAAGTTTAATAAGCTACTGATCATGAACCACATTGCATTAGTGGCCGGCTTCCTGTTTCCGTTTATCATACTCACCATCTGCTACCTACTGATCATCCGGGTCTTGTTAAAGGTGGAGATTCCAGAATCGGGTCTTCGGGCTTCTCACAGGAAGGCGTTGATCACCATAATCATTGCCATGATCATCTTCCTCCTCTGTTTCCTGCCTTACCATGCACTTCGGACCCTCCACTTGGTCACTTGGAATGCAAATTCATGTGGAGACAAGTTACACAAGGCCATGGTCATCACACTGGCCTTGGCTGCCACCAATAGCTGCTTCAATCCCTTTCTTTACTACTTTGCTGGGGAGAATTTCAAAGACCGATTAAGGGATGCATTCAGCAAAGATCATCTACAGAAAGCAAAGGCAAAGTGCAGCCTTCCCTTGTGTGCGTAGCTGAAGAACAGAATTAGAGTTCAGGGAGCAGTTATGCATGTGTGCGCATGAATCTTGGTGTCCACCTTCATTCATTCATTGTCTCCAAATTACTTTGTATTTGCATCATAACCAACAAGTCTTGGTTCCCAACATTCAATGACCACAACTTTTGCTAATAAAGCCTATTTCAGAAATTTAATTAGATGTATGTTTAGTAGTTGGGGCTAAATGAGAAATGTAGGAAAACTGTTTCTACTGGAATCTTGCAAGCTGAAATGTGACATTGGGAAAAATTGTCAAGCACAGTAAGCCATGCTTTGTATCAGATCCTATGCTAGGTCTCTGGCCCTAACTTTAAGATATCCTCAAGCACCCTAGCTTCTCAGATCCTTTCCCTTTTAAAGCCCTTGAGACACAGCTAAACCTACCAAGAGCCTCCATGCAGCCTGGAGCGCATCCTAAGAACTAAGGAGCAGACTTTATTGGAGAGGAAGACTGCCCTGTAACAAAGCAAGTCCAGGCAAGGTTGGTGAGAGAACAAGGAGGAGAAGGATTAAGGCAAAATAGAGTGAATGATACATAGAGGTAAAGAGTAATCTCATTTTTGTCCCAAGAAATGGGTTCTAGCAACGAAGTTGAAGAATGTGTCTTTTGTGTCTTTCTTGCCAGGGATTAGGAAGACCAAAGAGTGGGGGTGGGCTGGGATGACTTTCCTAGGGGACACAGGAATTGTGTGTGGAATAGAGAAGAGGTGGAGTCATGGACTTGCATCTCAATTTTACTTGAGACTTGGGCTGGGATTGATGTCACGGTAGTCATTGCTCCCTCCTAGTAACCCACTAGGATGACAATTAAAACAAAGGAGGTGGTGCTATGGTTTGAGTTGAGCCTTTGGAAAAAGAGTTGGGCAGAACATGAGGAGTGGTATATAAAAAGTTCTTGATATTAGAAAAAGACCCTGTCTATTCACAGAAACTGGATCCAGATACCACCAGTTACTCACATGACCATTGCGTTGACCCAGACCGTCAAGTGCCATCCTCATGCTGAGAAGCCTGAGCAGGTGCTATATAACTAGGTAACCCTCACAAGAAAGCACAGGGATTTCACAGGTGAAAAAATGAAAGCTCCGAGAAATTAAGAAATGCCCAAATCTACACAGCTAATCAGAACTTTAAAGGGAAATGTTGACTGGACGCTCCCCTTCTCCCCCACCCTTGTGAACCTCCAGGAATGCAGCTCTAAGGTCTGGATGAAAACTCCCGCTGTTATCAGGCACATATGCCTTCTTATTCTTACAAGAAAACCAAGCTTTGGGGCTGGAGAGATGGTTTGGGGCTTAAGAGCCTTATGGCTCTTGCAGAGGACCCCAGGTCTCATTCCTAGCACCCACATGGAGACTCACAGCCATCTGTAATTGCAGTTCCACAGGACTTAATGCCTTCCTGTGGCCTCTGTGGGCATGCACATGGTGCAAAGACAGATGCAGAAAAAACATTCATGCACATAAAAATTCTTAAAAACAACAACAACAACAAAAAACTAAAAAACAAAGTCAAGACTATCTCCTTGCAGTTGGTGACCCCTGGCACAGTTGTGGGTGGAAAGAAGGTTGTGTTCTGAAGTTGGAGGGCACTACAGGTAGTGTTTGTATAAAACAAAGACTGTGACCTTCCTTTAGTCAGCTACCAGAGTGATGACAGACAGATGTCAGAGGAAGGCCCTGGAACATTTGCCTACAGGACAACTCCCCTATCTCCGAGAAAAGGCTGACAGATAGATACTTGGAAATCTTCCAACATCAAATCTGGGCATCTGCTCTGTCATTTACCTGTCAGTGAAGCCTACAATCTAATACATTCCCAGTGCTTCCAGAAAGCATCCAGCTACTTGGTCCTGTCCTACTCTTGACTGTGAACTATGACCACACACTTCCAATGGGAAACCCCTAAGACTCAAGGCACCAGCAAGGAAGAGCACAGAGGGAGACATCTTCAGTAGGGAAGGGCTCTAACACGTGTATCAGAAAGCACTGGTGTGCTGCTCCCAAACGAGAGGAAGACAGGCAACCAAGAAAACAGGAATGGCCAAAGGGGAAGACAACTCCCAGGAGGGTTAGAAAGAAGCTCATACAGGTAGGGCAGGAATGCCAGGGGACTCCAGGAGGGATGGCGCCAAGAACAAGAAACCGCCGGGGGAGCACACATGGAGAGGGAGAGCTTGGGATGAACTAGTGGCAAATGATAGCACAATGCCGTCATTGTTACACTAGAAAAGAGTGCTAGCTAAGCGCACCAGGACTAACTTGAGCACACTGTGCAGTTGAATGTTTACACAGACAGGGACACAAACACAGAAACGCTGTGATAGAATCTGTCACGGGAAATGAGTCGGGTGGACGTGCGTGTAGGGGAAAAGTGCACGAAGCTCGGCTTTCCATCTTCCATCGGAGAGAATTCACCAAAGCTGGGGAGCAATGAACAGCCACACAGCGTGCTGTCTAGCGCGAGGGAGGAGGTGGTCTCCGGAGAGAAGCTGAGGGTGGGATGTTTGTTTTCAGGAACTGTCAAACTGAATAGTTTGTGGATGTGCATGCCTGAAATAAAATGAAAATTAAGATGAAATTAAATTGAAACCTTCAAATCAGTTTCCTGTTTTTAAAGGAGCAAGAATAAGGAAGCAGGAAAAAGCCTCTAGCTAGGGTAGAATGTCTCTGAGGCAAGAGGTGAGAAATAGAAGTGTGTTTGCCAAAGTGAAGGCCAGGAGCTCTGAGGTTTTAGTTAGATACGGCTTTTTGTTTGAGAGATTAGGCGTCCCTTCAAAGAAAATATGCAAACTCTCCAAGTAGGAGAAAGGGTTTTTTGTTGTGCAAATGCTTTCTCGGTGGAGGCCAGGGCTGGATGACACTGTCTTTTACAACTGTATTGAGTACTAAAATCTCTGCTTTAGATTTGATCAGGGTTTGTTCTCAAGCAGAAAGGGTACTGAACTAGCCGGGCGGGGGAAGGGGGGGCGGCGTTGCGGACACGGAGGACTGGCAGACTTGATCATTGGGATCACTTTCTGTCCAGAATTCACCTTTCTACCTAGAAAAACATTTGGGAACAGAGGCCTGCTCAGAGAAGAATGGGAGCCCAAGGAACATGGGGATGAGAGATTCTCACTCTGACGTTCCATCCTAGATGGAGAGAAGCTAATGGAAAACACACCGAGAAAGAACTTATTACCACGCTGATATGACGTTTAACATTGAATATCAAAATAGCATGGACATGGGTATCTACAGAGAGCTGAAAAGAAACAGCCCCAAGAAACAAGCTGCTTGCCACGAGGAGTTGGAGAGGTCTCTGGCTGAGTGATGTCTGTGAGCAGACTGCCAGCTCTTACTCCGAGTGCCTCTGCATTCCGGTCTGGGTAGACCCAATAGGACGTACTGGCCATAAAGACAACCTTCAGCATGGGTCGGTGCACCAGTGTGAGCTGGTGTCTGGTGACTGGAGAGGCCTCCCTGATGAGCTGGCTCACAGGGTACCTCAGTCCTTTGCACGACCTCAGGTTAGGGAACAGCAGACTGTTCACAGTGGGACACCAAGGACCAGATGGAATTTCCCATCCGCTGATGCAACAAAGACTTAGAGTCTGCTGTAAGTTAGTGTTCTTAAAATCGGCTGTGATGCTATGGAGCGTTTTGGCCAGAAGCTTCCATCCATTCTTTATTAACAACGGATTTCACACAAAGACATAAGCTAATGGAGAATCAAATGGCGGTCTCTGTTCTTACTCCTTTTGGAAGAACTAAGCTTTATTAGTACTGCCATGGTCCTTCACACATCTATGACCACAGACATCATTAATCTCCATTTCACGTTACTCTCAGAAGCAGCATTGCCCACCACACAGGTGCCAATGATCAAACTTCCTTGTCTTACACTATCTTTACAAAGCAATGGATTCCCATGAAGCTTCTTCATACATCCTTATGTTTGACCAATCCATCGCTACCCTTTGCTCTCTCCTGTCTCCCTGCTCCTGTCCCCACCTAAACCTTTAACCCACAGTATCCCCCCAGCCGTTCTTTCATGCCACCTGTGCTCTGCTGTGCCCTCTAATTACATCTTTGACTTGGGCTGCAAGATCATAGGTTTCCACAAGGCCTTTTCATTCACCGTTCATTTTTAAGCCTTCTTCTACCCTCTTATTTCAACCCCCCCCCAAAGCCCTCTGTGTATGAACCTTTCTGTTTCCAGTCTGTGCCCTCTACTTTCTTTCCCCCTGTGTTTTACTATTCTCCTCTCTCTTAATTCAGCCTACATTCCATCAACTGACATGACTCTGCTTTATATGAGAGGCCTAAGAATCTACAGGTTTGGGTATTGGGTAGTAGAGTCCTGGAGCTAAATCCCCAAGGATAAGGAGGTGATTGTATTTTACTTCTTGTTTTTAGAAATTCATTGTCAAGGGGCTTGGCAGTCACATGTTTTCTTGCTATTGTTAGTTTCTTCACACTTCATTGTGTTGAAATGCATGTATTTTTCCTGTTGAATGTTTATTTTAATCAGTAATTGAGTTGCTTATTAAAGCTGGCAGTTAAAGGGGACAGAGAGATGGCCCAGTGGTTAAGAGCACTTGCTTTTTCAGAGGATGAGGGTGGAAGACCAAGGGGAACAGTCTAATGACTAGAGATCTGTGTGAAGAACAGTATCCATCAATGAATATATAAACTGGAATTTTAATATTAATTTAGGGTCAAATCCTAAAGTGAAACAGCATTTACTCTTTCTAAAAAAATTATTTTTCAAATGTGTGTATGTGTATTTTGTCTGCATGTCTGTATGCCTGGTGCCCACGGAGGCCGGAAGAGAGTGTCAGATACTCTGGAACTGGAGTTACAGATGGTTGTGAGCTACCATGTGAGTGCTGGAAATTGAGCCAGGATTGTCTGGAAGAGCAGCCAGTATTCTTGACCACAGAGCCATCACTCAGCCTCCAGAATTTACTCTTGATTATCTTTTATTTCGTGTGGCTTGTTTGTCTTCCCTCTGCTAGAGAGAAGAAACAGGTTAATTATGCTGGATTTGCCTGCGAGGAATTGGCTGGACACTGAGCACAGGTGCATTCAGTTTCACAAGCTGTGGCTTGTCTTCACCAGTCCTGAGAGCATGTCAGGTCATTTTGGTCTCCTTTGTGCCTTCCAGTTTGAGCTGAGAACAACAGAACCCGCACCTGGAAATTCTTGTTGAGCAGCACTGCCCCACTCATCAGTTTTTGAAGTGTGATAACAGATTTTTATCTGGTTAAACGCTAGTTCTGGGTGGATTTGTGAGGGCATTTCTGGAAGAGGTGAACATTGGCACTATGGCTCCCTCTAAAGAGGTTGAGCACCGTACAGTTCTTTGTAGGCTTAAAGAGAACATGAAGGCAGAGAAAGGGAGTTGTCTCTCATCAGTTACTTGGGCTGAGACATTGGCCTTCTGTCTCTAGAATGGGACTCACCTTTAAGGCTGAGGCCTCAGGCCTTCAGACTTGCATTAAAAATGTACTGTTATAACCATGGATCTAACTCCAGAGAGCACTCACTGAGATTTCCAGGGTCTTGAAACCTGGAACAAAGAATTGGACCAGTGATACATGGATAACCATAGAAACAGAGACAGATGATTAAGAAAGAGAATGACATTATGGAGAATGTAAGTTGACTAGAGAGCTAGAACAGGCCCCAAAGATCATAACCAACTTTTCATAATCTGAAGCGCACAGAGTCTTTCTTGAGCATGCTCTGTTTTGTTACAAGTGACCTTGGTGGGGAGTGGTTTCAGGTCTTTTTTCTGCCAAACAACTGATAGTTAATCTTGATACTGCCCTCTGGGGCTTGCGTTCCTACTTAGTATCACTGCCTTCTCTGGATCTTCTCCTTGTGACAGACATCATGAGACTTCTCAGCTTCCATAATCCCATGACCCAATTCCTTGTTATGACATTGCTTTGTATATGTGGATGTAGACATCGACATGGACATGGCTATACACACGTCTAGTTGATTGTATTTCTCAGGAGAATCACAGTGAACACACAAAACTCCATTAGTGACTTGGCAGGAAGTTACAGATCTTGGGGCTACAGACATGGCTCAGCGGTTAAGAGCACAAACTTCTTGAGGAGGACCTGAGTTAGGCTCCCAATACCAATGTCAGTCGATTCACAACTGCCTGTTACTCCAGCTGCAAGGGGAACTGTTATCTACTTCTGGCCTCAGTGGGCACCTGCACTCATGTGCACATACTTGATCCATACTCACATAATATTTTAAAAAAAAAAAGAAAGAAAGAAACATAGATCTCCAGATACAACTTTAGGAATCAAATTACTTTCTACACAGTTATATATTTCAAATTTGAATATACCCTGAAATGGTTCTAGTATCTGAGTTCTAGAAGAGAGACATGGTAGTGCAAGCCTGTAACCCAGCGCTCAGTAGGCTGAGGCAGGAATATTCAAAGTTCAAGGCCAGCCTAGGCTGCAGAGCACAACTCCATCTCAGACAGACACACACAGACACACACAGACACACCAATCTCTGGGTTCCGTCTCAAGGGAGAGCACAAATCTGAACAAGTCATGTTTTTATAAGGAAAGTGTCCTTTGATGTCCTTTGTCAAGGACACTTGACAATTGACAGCCAGACTCACTCCTCTGTTACTTTGAGCTATGTGACCTCAGCAAGGACAATTTTCCCTTTTGCCCTGGTTGTCTGTCACAGAAGGATGTTAGATCGTGGGCTTGGAACCTGAAGATGCTAATCACTCTAAGAGATCGGATCTGCAGCCTGGAAAAATCAGGGCACAGCTGATTTTTCGAAAGAAAGTTCTCGAAAGAAAGGACTGGCAATCCTTGCTGTTGACACACAGAGTCCATCCCCTTCAAGATATAATAGGATATTGTTTTCTGATAGCCTGTTCCCCCACCATGCTATCCGTGATGGCTTTCTCTCCTCCTCTTTTGCCTTAAGGGATCTCCTAATGTTCTCATGATGTCCTTTCTGCTTGCTTATCTCTCAGCTAAGTCATGCTGTTTTGGGTGTGATGGACTGTGCTTTCTTATGCTCCCTCACTTTAGGGTCCAGTCATGAACCTCATGGTCGCAGGACTGTCGTTCTTAAGGAGAAACATTTCTGAAGAGTAATTTCTTGTCTGGTCCTTTCCCAAACCCATGGCTCTAATTTCTATCGGAACAACAGTGCATGCCCTCTCTTGAGTAGTTACGAAGACAAAGCGTACTGTGACATGTGTTGGTAACATTCTAAAGAATGCAAGCTAGAACACACTGCCTGATACTCTGTGAAAGAAAACAACAGGGTTTCATTATTCACATTGCATTTTAGATTGCTTTGGGGAGCTTGCTACACAAAGGAAGTCATCAGTGAAATTTCACCTAAATCAAACAGTCATTTTGTGTTTAGAGGCCTTCCCTTATTTGCTTGTTCTCTGAATTTTGCTGTTTTCAGTGTTCCAAAAATAGCACGTGCTGTGCTCTCACTTAAGAGGCCACAGTGAGTTCTCTGACCATAATGCCGTTGGTCGGAAGGGAGCTCAGAGGTCTGCATCCACTTGGGGATGAGGGAGAAGCAGGACTGCTGGAACAGCTACAGGTGACCCTTGGGACTCCTGGAGCAAATGACTTCCACCACCTTCCGGAGAAGAAGTGACGTCATGGAAGTAAAGGTCTCGGTGACTCAAAGCCCTCTGGGTTTTCTTAGCTTGTTCTTACGTGCAGAAGGCTATAAACAGCTTCTTACCTCAGCACATTTACGTACCTTCCAGAATAGGAGAGGGAAGCCGTAACAGTTACTGCAATTTGGGGCTGTGGCAGCCCCCCAGCAGGTTAGGTACCACCACCAGTTCTCATTAGTCCAATTTATGACACGTGCAATAGTGGAAAGTAGAGCAAAAAGATTAATTCATTTTGGCCACACTGGGAAAATGGACAAATGACGAGGTCTAGTGACCCAGCCCCCAGTCTATCGTTGGGATCCTAACATGAAGTTTGGTTTTAAACCAAAGGGAATGCACGACGAAGCAGACCTGGTCAGTGGGCCTGCTTAGAATGGACATGTCACTGCCCAGGCCCCGTGCTTAGGTCTGTTCTGCATGAAATCTCTTTCTTAGGGACAAACGCCCCTTCTGACTGTCACCAGGACCCCAGCCCTTCCTTCATGGCATGAGACCCCTAGGGGGATCTTGGTTCCTCGGGTCTCTTGAAGTGTCTCTCTTTAGAATAGCTTCACTTCTGTGGGACAGACATCTAATCTGAGAAAAGGCAGGCTATTCATGAAGTTGTGTGCTGAAGCCTGCAGGAACGGAAGCTTAGTGGAACTTATTTCCATCCTTTGTCTTTTTAGGACTTTGGGACCTGTCACCCTAAAATAAAGATCTGTACTTAATGGTTTGTGTTGCTTGTTCTCATTTTTCCTACAAAGCATCCAAGAAGAGGAATCCACAGAATGTAATGAGGCCTAAGTGATGGATCACGTGAAATACACCAGGAAAAGGTTTTCAGGAAGCAGGTGAATGTGGTGGGAGACCAGGAGCCCATCCTTTGCAGACCTGCCTCTAATCTCAGCTCTGGAGATTTCGGGCAGGGCAAGCACCCTGTCTGGCCTCCATAGAGAGACTAAAGCCTGCCTCACAGTGTCACAGAGATTAGCACTCATGGCAACATATATAAGAGCAACCAGCAAAACCCTGGGTCCACAGCGGACCCTCGAAATCTTGCTTATTTTAGTAAGAGGAAATGGGGTCAGAAAAATTGTTATAAGAGTGCAACATGACAACTGAATAGAACAAAACTGAAATGAAAACTTTCCTCAGCTCTGTTCAGTGTGTGTGTGTGTGTGTGTGTGTGTGTGTGTGTGTGTGTTTCTGTCCATCTGTCCATCTATCTGTCTGTCTATGGGGTCGGTTGTAGGTCAAAAGGAAACATTTATAAACTCACAATGAGAATTCCCAGAAGGGCTCTATCACCCCAGATCCAGTCCTCCAGTCTCACCCCCACCTCTGCAGCGGAATAACCATGGCAGCTTTCCCTGTGTCCTGGCTCCCATTTCCCGTGGATCTTCCTAATCTCTCTCCCCAAACTCATGTCCCAGCCCCCCAACTCCAGCAGGGAACCCCTACTAACCCAAGGGCCACTCCTCCCAGGGTAACAAGTAGGCTAAGGGCAGATCTCTCCTACTGCCCCCGAGATCCACTCCCCCCGACCCCCGCAACCCCAGTCTCATCCCTAGCTCTGTAGCAGGAAACCTGCTGTGGTCTCCCTTTCTTTTTTGACCCCACCCCTAATGGATCGGAAAGACCTTTTCCTCCAACCTTCCTTCCCCTAACTCATGCCAGTATCCCAGCCTCCAACACCAGCAGGCATTCCTTGTGAACACACTAGCTGAGCAGGCTAGGAAAACAGGCAACACGCAACCATCACACTCTCTGAAAATCCAGAGAGGAAACAGAAACCAAGGAACAAAACACCCACCCAATAAAGACAAATCCAGAAATCAGCACCTGGACCTATGCTTATCCCAAACCTAGGTGCCTAGATGTCAGTGTTAAGACACAATCAAAACAGCCGGGTCCATATTTCTCCACCAGAGCCCAGCTTTCTTACAACAGCCAGGCACTGAATATTCCAACATAGCTGAAGCACAAGAAAAAGACCTTAAAACCAATGACATGAAGATGATAGAGGTTCTTAAAGAAGAAATGAATAGATTCCTTAAGGAAATGCCTTGTAAATTAGGCACTCTGTCAACCTGCCTTTCAGCTACTTAACACCAGCAGCTTACATCATTACCTGCCCTGGCCACCAGGTAAGGTGCGTTTCCACTGTTGATGTGAGTTGTGCTCACCCTTTAAAAGGTCCCTTTGGACACCATGGCTC